GGGAGGAGGAGCTCCCCGCGCGGGGCAGGGGCGGAGCGAGCGGCCGCGCCGCGGAACCAAGTGAGTTGGCTCCCGAGCCCGAGCCGCCGCCGGCCCGCACCTCGGGCGCCCGCCGCCCCCGCCGTCCCCGCAGCCGCCGCCCGCGCGGGGATGCAGGATGCTGGTGGGCGCCAGGCTCCAGCGGCGGCGGCGGCAGCTGCAGGAGCAGCCCCGGCGGCGGCATCCTCTCCTCTGGCCGATGAATGCAGACCCGCCGCCGCCGCCGCCGCCGCCCTGGGTTTGGATGGTTCCTGGCTCGGCCGGGCTGCTCCGGCTGGGCGCCGGGGTCGCGCCCCCGCCCGTGCTGCTCGCCTCGGCGCAGCCCCCCGCCGGCCCGCTGCTCCCGGGGCTGCCCGGCTGGCAAGCCCCCGGCGAGCCCCTGCTGCCGCTGCTGCCGCTGCCCTCTGCGCCAGACCACGCCGCCGTGCACCACTACCCCTTGCTCCACGGGCAGGTAACGTGTCCCCGGCCCCCGGCCCCGAGATCAGGGGTTCGCCGGCTGCGCCCCTCCGCCCCCTGGGCGCGGCCCTCACCCGGCCCTGGGGCAGCCCTGGCCCTGCGGCTCGCGCCCTTCCTTCCCCGCGGTGGTCCTCGGCTCCCCATGCCATCAGGGCGCAGCCTGGCAGCCATGCATCGGCAACAAAGTTCATGCTTCGACGTCGCGTTCTGCCTCTCGGCAGTTTTCGCGGCATGTCTTCGCGGTCCCTCGGCCGGGCGCTGGGGAGCCCGCGCCCCGAGGCCAGAGTTGGGACCGCGCTGGCCACAACTTTCGCCCGGGCCGGGGTCGCTGTCCAGAGCGCGGTGCTGAAGTAGCGGCCGCCGGAGCCCAGCTTTGCCGCCGCTTACCGTGGCTGACTTCTCGCAGAGAAGTTAATACTTTTACAGTCTCTGCCAGACTTTAAAAGCAAGCTGGGAATCAATAACTATTTCTGATTCTGATCTGGGCTTTTTTTTGTTTTTTTTGAGAATAGACTCAGGACAATGCTTAAGAGAATTCAAACCAATGGAAGCCGGCAAGGAAATCCTGCCTTTATTATTGAGAAATATTGCCGGTGATTTCCCCTCCCACCCTAGGTCAGCCTGAGTCCACCAAATTAGCTAATGCCATATTGCACTCTAGAAGAGTTTGGGGTTTAAAACGTGGAATTAAAAAGAAAAAGTGACTGTACCTTTGATTAATGGTGCAACAGAGCAGGGCAGGCTGGTTTTGGCAAGATCCATTGTTTGCTATCTAACTATGCAGATGCATTTAAATCAGGGAATAACATGTATTTTATTCCAAAGATTGTCCTCATTAGCATATTCAAATGAGCGGTGTGTTAGAATACATCATTTAATTAATTTAATTACAATATTATCTTGTGAGCTTTTCTAAAAGATGTTATTAAACTCCTCTTAAGTTGGTCTTTAGACTCAATGATACATCACATATGGGGTACTAAATATCACATTTTGATGCAGTTCATACTGGGTTTTATTGAATAAATGTTGGTAGCTTTTTTGATGTTTTGAAAGGGCTGTTATATCAGAGTCCTACCACTAGAGGTATATAATGTCAAGGAACTACAATTTTTTTTCTGTAGAGAACACTGCATTTGTGTGTGTGCGTGTGTGTGTAAATTTAAAAAGAAAAATCCAAAAAACCTTATTTCTTAAATATTTTTGTGCTACATATTTTCTGTTAAATAACAATATTTAGAACCAGAAGAATGTTTTCACATTAACAGGAAAATCAAAGATGCTTCTATGATTTTAAAACAAATAGATATCAAAGTGTTCCATACCATTGAACAATGATCTTATTAGTTCTCCACTGATGAATTAGGGAGACTGTCTCCTAAAGACTCAGTTATTTGAATTAGGGAGACTGTCTCCTAAAGACTGTCTGCCCCCTTTCAATGTTTGCTATTTTATTCTGTGCATTGGGATCTTCAGTTGTGTGATAAGCTCACATACATTTTCTTTGCCTTGGAATGTATTTGCATTTGTGAACCTTGGGAAACTTTGCATCCTAACCCCTGAGCTAATTTTATTTTCAAAATATTAGTTGTGTTGGTTTTTAAATGATAAGTGTAATTAATACAAAATGTTGCATTGAAAGGATTATCATAAAATATAACTCCCTGCTTGCTTGTGAAAAGAATTCCAGAATTATAAAAGGAATACCCAGCATTTCATCTTTCCATTGTGGTTTCTCATTATCTCAGGGCAGAAACCCATTTCTTACCCCATTCTCATGGCTTTGTGCTTAGAAATTCTTTCTCAGTATCGAAGAATGCAATGTTGGTGATGCTTTGTGATGATTCAAATATGAAAACTTTTATACATTTTTAAAATTTGTGAATATTTATGGTTTTTCTTCACTGTTGAAAGGAGGAATTTCTCTCCTAATCGAATACATACATTTTTAAATTCTTTTCTTAAAGCAGCTATCCCAGCATCTTGTGGTACAAAGTAGTTGATCTGTTTAGGCTAATGAGCCCTCCCTTATCTTTTCTTGGGCTTCAGTGGCTGTGCGGTGGCCATTCTCCATCCATAGGACTGTCTCCCTCTTCCGCTGTGGAGTTGGTACCCATTTTCCCACACGTCTGCCCATCTGCTCTTCCACCTCCTGTTGGGAAAAGTTGGATAGAAAAAAGGATACCTAATTGTAAGGTAAAATGCAAGTCATTTAATTAGATAAATGGACCTTTAATTATTAATTTGTTGGGTAGTTCCATAACAACAGAAAAGATTGTGTGTTTTCTAATTGCAATATCTAGGTCTAGAGAGAAATCTTTTCAGAATAAGATCAGTCTGTTCAAAAACACCAGCAGAGGTGGGGGTTCATTTTGTTTTAACTGAAAAATTTGGATTCTGTGGAACAATATAAAATTTCTACCTCTGAAACAGAATCCATTAAAAATTTTTTTTTCAGTTTTTAGATCTCTAAGCATTGATCAAAATCTAGTCTTAAACATTATATAAGTATAAATTTTATGAGCGGATTTTTCTTGATGTTATTGCTTTAAGTGTTCATCTTTCTGATGATTTTCTTAGCCTTTGGATTCAAATTTAAAGGCCACACTGTGTTTACCTGAAAACTAAAGGCAAGTAATATGGTGACTTTTCTACAACACACTATTTACCTCACTGGGGTGATTCTTCAATCTGTAAAACTGGCTGCAAGGCTGAATTAATCAAGTCAATGGTTGAAGACCAGCCCACGAGACTTTATCTAGAAGGTGATTGGTGTCAGAGCTCCATGGATCTTTAGGTTTTAGAATGATACTTTTAGAGAGTCCCCACTTAAAGAATCTCCAATATTTGATCAGTGTAAGAAAGGGAACTATTTTATAGCAGTGTTTAGCTTTTATCATGTGTCTTGTCTTAAACGTTATGCTTGTTTTATTTTTGGACAGATATTTTTTAATAATTCCTTTGCTCTGGACTCAATGTGGATATATCCTGAGGAGTCAAGGTTGTTCCATGGGCATGAAAAGCCTCATTTGTTGGCAAATCAAGTCGCTCTGTCTCTGTCCAGACCAGCTCCTGCCTCCAGGCCTCTTCCCACTGTGCTGTTAGCACCTCAGCCAATACCAGGTTGGTGCCCCAAATCTATACTACTTTCTGTTTCTGCTTTAGTCATACGTTAGTTTTAGGTATGAAAACTGTACTTGTCATTTTAACAAAATGATTATTTCAAGTTATAATTTTTTTCATGAGTATGATTCCCTTTTGTAAAGAAATTGAGTGTTGAGTAGCTCATTCATTGTGTTTTTAGACTGTGGAATCTGTTTTTAGGATGAAAAGTATGGCTGAGGGGATTTTGATAGAATCCTGTTTTTTGGTGCTCAATTTTTTAAAATTGGACCAAATCTTCTGCTGATAGCCCTTAACAGGAGTACTAATTGCCCACGTTACTTGTGTAGGGTGAGGCACACGTAGCAAAGCTCCCTGGTCTGCAGGACAGGGGCACTTGTAAGATGTTTGTGAATTTTGCCCACATGCTGGGGGTGATATTGGGAAGGGCCTATAAAAATATCCTGTTTGGAAGATGGATTTTGTTCTATCTTTGGAGCCTAGTGGCCTAAAAGAACATTTGTCCTGGAACAGACTCCCATGAAATAATCTCTGGATGAAAGATTGTATAATAAACCTATATAGCAACAGGAGAATAAAATCATCTTATGAATTTTTAAATTGATTTTTAAAATCACCTTAACATAGATCATATTATAAAAGCAAGCATTGTCCATGCCAAGATTATCTTGCAATGCCTTCCATTATGGAATATTTTATGACTTCAGAATTACATTATCTTCCTGTAATTTCCTACCTACCAAGCTTTTATCAATGTGTGTTTCTAAAATTTAGTAATAAGGACGTGTTCCTGTGGATAATGCAGTGCTGGTTTAGGAGATATATTTATTTTCTTCTCTCTTTGCCTACCTTACGTATTCCAATTTGCTATAGATCTTGTTTAGTAATAAATCAGGAAGAACAACTCAACTATTTGTATTTTTCACAGGCTTTAATGATTCTTGAATGAAACTTGCCTTCTGTCCTTGTAATTGTGCATTACTGAGTTATTAAAATCTGAATGCATATCATCCATACATTTATAAACACTTTACACTAAGGTGATCCTGTTTCCCATTTAATTTAATGACCATAAAAGATGATCAGATTGCACATATTATATAAGGATTCCATGACTTTGCATACCATCCTTGAGTATCATAGAGACATTTCTCAGTATACCTACTCCTCTTCTTAGAAAACCCATACTGTGAATGTGTTAAATATCCAGTTGAAGAAGCTTATGGCAACTTACACCTTTTCTCTCATATGGATATTGTTTATTGTGCGGCAAACATCTCATACTTTATTCAAAGCATATTGATACTCATTTTACCTTTGACTTTTGACTACTCTATTTTAAAGAACAAAATAAAATAATATTTCTAACATGGTTGATAATAGAATACTCATTCTGACCTGGTCTACCATCTGTAAAATCTCTGCTTTTATTTTTCCCTGTTTTTTTTTTTTTTTTGAACTTATAACCCATAAGAATATAACACTTACCTTCCTACTTATCTTTTGGGGAAAAATGTGTCTGCCCCAGAGGTAATTTAATAACAGTTAAATACATGTGTTTGAGATGGGAGTTTCCAAACTCTTTGTGAAATTTTTGATTTTTTGATAAATTTTAGAATTTTTAGGAATTATTATTCTGGAAAGCATGCATTAAATATCCTGTATCTAAAGAACATATTTAGGGGGTTGTTTATATGTTACTAACTGCTTAACAGAGAAGCAGGGAGGGGATCTAGTAATTGCAGGAGGTGAGGTCAGCTCCAGGTCAGCTAAAAGAGCAGATACATCATTGCAGGTTCACCATAGTTAACAAGAAAATAAAAATGCATCAAAACATTTTACATGTCAATTTTCAGAATACTGTTAAAAGTAATTATTAAGGGGTGCTTGGGCGGTGCAGTTGCTTGAGCATGCTCTTGATTTCAGCTCATGATCTCAGGGTCATAAGATCGAGCCCCGTGTCAGGCTCCCTGCTGGGTGTGGAAACTGCTTAAGATTCTCCCTTTCCCTCTGCCCCTCTCTCACCCCCACAACCTACTCACCCACACACGCTTTCTTTCTCTCTCTCTCTCTCTCAAAATTTTCTATTAAATTTTATATCCTATTATAAATCAATAAATTTAGATATTATATTTAATTTTTATTATATAGCTATACATTTTACATATAAAACATATTGCATATCTTATATTAATATATCATGTATAAATGTTATATAGTTGATATTTTAAGTTGATTAATCTTGTTATAAATTGTTATATTCATAGGTAAATGGCCTCCTATCATAGATATGTTTTATCGATCTGTTTCCAATTAATCAAAAGGAACACTATTAGAACTCCAAATGAACCAGAAGAATGAGTCAAACCCCCGCATTTTAAATAGGTCTAGTGAGTGAAGCTCATCTTCCTTTTTTGGGTAGATAGTAATTTTGTGTAATAATCATTTGTGAAGTAATGTTTTGTATGCAGTGTTGTTTTGTATGCAGTGTGATGTCAATATACACCATGAGCTCCAATGATATGACACTAGATAGCAGCTTTATTTGAATAAGCATGTTGTTTGTTGAACTGAATTAGAGGTTGAAACAGGTAGAGATGCTGGGGTGGGTGACCTCTGAGACTCATGTCAATATCACACAACCCAATATATTATTGGTTAACTGACTGCATAGCAACAGGGTCTCATGTAATATTAGAACAGCTGTGAATTTGGATAAGTCATCCAAAGTTTAGTAAATATTATAAAGGACTTAACTTCATTTCGCTTTATATTAGACTCACTTATGTTGCAGTAATAGTGATGATCTGCCATCATAGGTAGATCTGAAAAAAGCTAATTGGCTGCCTTTATTCATGGAAGCTAATGGTTAATATCATATTCTTGCCTTCATTCACTGGACCACCACCCTGCCAGCCATGCAAGGTGCTGGGAAGGAGGTCATGCTCCAGTGGGGAACAGGCAAGTCAGCAGATAAAATCACACAACATGGATCTTGTATGCTCTCTGCAGACCTTTGAGGAGAATCTTGGGAGGGGATCATCAGGAAAGCACCCCCCCCCAGGGAGGGCTGATGCCACCTGAAACACATCTCCAAGACTTAGCAGAACTTTACCAGGGCAGGAAGAGGGGAATGGAATTCCAAACGAAGGGAGTAGAATGTCCCAAGACACAAACACATGAGAGATGTTGTGTCTGGTCATCACAAGCGGTTGAGTGTGGCTGCACTGCAGAAGTAGATGGGGAGGGGCAGGGATGGGGCAGCAAGTGACCCAGGCTCTGCAAGATGAACCCCATTATCCCACTGGAACGGTGTAGTGTGTAAGTGCCCGGCTCTTTGCAGAGTGTTGTGGAATTTTCCATCCTTCCTTGGCTCAGGATCCCTGGTTCCTTCAGCAAAGTGGAGCAGAGAAGACAGAGTGTTTTCTCATTGAAAAGTAAATCCAAGCATTTAAAAATATGCAAAGTTACAGCTGTACTAGAAACTTAAATCTCTAATGAATAATTTAGTGGCTTTTTAAGGAATTATCCCTAATTACAGTATGAATGGGTTGAATTGAGAAATAAGCCAGGATTCACTCATTCCCAGACCTCGGAAACTGATTCAAGGCAAGATTGCTGGGGAGGAGAGGCAGTGTGCCCCCCGCATAGACACTCTCTCCTCTTGAGGAGCTCCTCCACACTTAGGGTGGCGTCTTCGATGTATCTCCTCCACCGACAGCCCCTTTCTCCCATGCAGCACTGGGAGCCCATCTTCCCAGGGAGGAGAGGGGTTGCACTGCATCTTAGGATAATAGCAAGCAGAAGAGGAGGCAGGGCCAGTGTGGAAATGATGCTTCCTAAGGAGTCTCTGTACCGTACTTGTAAAAATGAGAACTGCAGAGTCCCTCAAGCTGCTCAGAAATAAAATTACTTAGATTCAGAGAATCAAGCAATGGGAGGGGAAGATAATTAATTCAGCCTCTGTCCAGTAAAGATGCATGAAATAATAGTTTGGTGGAACATGAAATAATAGTTTGGTGGAACATGGAGATCTGTCTAAAAGTTGTCTGTATACCATCGCCCTTCAGCTTAGAATCAAAAACCTTATTCTACCAACATCTTCTTGGGAAAAAAAACAAGCCATCTCATTCAAAGATGACCAGCGAGAGAGAAAGAGAGAGAGAGCCAATGGAAGATGAGGTGGGGAGCCTGAACATATTCTGCTTCATAAAAGAATCATTTACTCAAAAGACATGGAAGAGAAACAAACCTAGGAACAGGTTCTTGCATAGGAACTTGTAAATATGTTGGATAAATCAACTTGGTTTACCTTAGTAGGAAAAAAAAGGAGTGTTATAGAAAAGGAGCAAAAGATAAAATCAAAAGGGAGCTGGCTAAGGTGCAAAGTCATGCAGCGAGATAGATGTGAGACAAAATGCAAGGGACGTTTTGAACACTGGCAAATTAAAATCATTAAAGAGAAGAGCTGATTATGGATGTACTGACAGACGACAGCACAGGAGAAGCATGTGTATCTGGGACAACAAGGATGAGAATAATGAGAGGTGGTGATATGTGAAATAGCAAACGATGCGTCTATTTGTATCTGACCTCCGTGGAAGACCGAGAGCTGCAGGAGTGTTCAATGTGGCCACACCGTGTATCTTGCTCACTCTGACCTGATAAATTGTATGAGAGTGAGAGGCACTGCTTGACACAGGAGTGGACGTAGCTTCACATCATTCATCAGCACCAGATGTCACAGTTGGTGGGGAAGCTTTAGAGAATTACAAGGACAAAAGTCTGTGATTGAAGAAATGTATTCCAATAGGGAAGTCCTACACATGCATAAGCAAGGGAAAGATGTTCTCAAATAAGCAACGGATCGACTTTGTCACACCAAAGTTTTTGCCTCGAATTCTACTTTGTCTACAGTGAATGCTGCTTCTCGTCTACCTCTTCAGCTCTGCCACATCCCCATGTTATCTTTCCTGTCAGTTTTGCCTTGTCTTTTGTTT